ACAGAGTCTCCCCATCTGTAGTTTTAATGTCAAATGAAATTATATTTAGTTAGGGTTGGGTAATGTTACAACTAAAAGCAATATTTAAAAATCAAGCCTGAATTCATAGCAAACATTTGAAAATATATAGGACAGATTTATTATTCATACTGAATACAATTATTTTATAGTACCAATGAAAAGAAAACAAAAATTAAAAGGGCATTCTATAAACAACCTTTACCATTTTAACCTCAAATTACTGATAATCCTTTTAAGATAGAGAATCTTATACAGAATATGAAGAACTGGTGCAAATTTAAAATTTATTAAATTTTCTTTCATCAAGTCATGTTTAATAGATAATATTTTCATTACATGAGTAATTTTCAGGCTTCAACTAGATAAAATACAGAAATTTAAATAATACTTAGATAAATTGGCTATATATTGGCCAGCTTTAAATGAATGTTGTTGTTTCAAAATAGAGATTGCTAATGTAACTGAAAAAGGGGATTCTCTGTTTTTTTTCTAAAGCATATCTTTCCTTTGGACCTCAATAGTGAAAAAAAAAAAAAAACATTTAAAACAAAATATAAATAAATGAAAAAAGCATTAAATTGTAATGTAAAAAATAAAGTGTTTTTCTCAAGTCAAGCTAATGGCATTCTCAGAGGGTTAAAAATTTTCATGTATAGCATTATAATTCTTTTCTTCATATGATCATCAAACACTCTGTAAAAAAGTGCTTGATTAGCATCCATGATGTAGAATTTCCTAATTTTCTAATGAACTGTATGAAGGCCAAGACATTCCCTGGATGGGCTGCTTTTATTTCATTATCAGAAGAAGGTGGAATGCTCAAGAAAGGTGAAAAAACTCAAGGACTTCTCCAAGAAAGGTGTTAAATTATTCTACCCAGGAGTGAGTGCTGAGGGGGCAGTCCTTAGTTGAGCTTGGCTCCAGGTGTCCTTGGCTGTAGTCTTATCTTTTGAGGATACTTGGCTTCATCCACATTACAGGACTCACTAGGGATCAATGACTCACAGAGGCTCACTCACTATGAGTCCTCTGCCCATCTCCAGACAAGGAGCCCAGGCCCTGGACAGACTCACAAGTAAACTCTGAAGGCCAATCAGTCAATTTTAGTGCTTCTCTGGGCTGCTTTGTAGTGGTCTCCATTAGTGAGGTGTGGTCGTTTTTATGATTTCTTATATTATGTTTGCCAGTATATTGATGGAGGTTTTTGTATCTGTTGTTTAAATATATGAAAAAAAAAAGATACGAGCTTTTATAGAGTTAACTTTCTTTGTTTTAGAATCAG